TAACCGATCTCGATCCCCGCACAAAGTTCACCAAACAACAGCTTGTGCGCCACAGTGTCTTGATGCCCCATCATCGTGAACCGAATTCAATCTCCCCCCGAGCTGCGATTCCGCACAAAAAGCACTTCTTTGTTTTATTCGAGTCTTCCGAGTCGTCGTAAGTAGGTGTACAGTGTCACCTGGGATGGCATCTCAGAACGCTGACGTTGCACTCAGGAGTGCAGGGTTGAAGTCTTCAAGTTGGCATCCGCGTCCGAAAGAACGCCAAGGACCTTTACCTGGTAAGAACGGGGCATTCGTCAACGCTCCAAAGGTCTTAAAGAACTGTACTCGTCCTCGACGCGCTGTTTCTATTTAGTACGACGATTTCTCAGCATTACACATGGGCGCCGTTGAGATCAACAGGAACTGGAGACGCCGATGCACAAGCTATTCAGAACGGACAGAGTGAATCTGCACACAGTAATCCAACTAGGTATGTAAACGCATACAACGTGTTTTGGGGCGCATATATCCCCTCTTCTTCTTGACTTGCGCTGTCGTTATAGATTCTTGCCATGGCACAGGCAGCTACTTCTCGAACTTGAGAGCGCGCTGCAATCTGTTGCATGCTCAACCGCAGATCCTATCTTCTTTCTCCACCGATTGACTTTGGGCGAAATGGCAAGATTCAGGACACTATGGCTCGATGTAAGATTTACAGAGGCATGCATTTTCGAACGTCGCGAGACTCGAATGCTCACCAGTCATTATCAGATTTTATCCAAAGCGAGGAGACTCTATGTGGTTAATCGTGAAGGGTGAACCAATGCGGCAAGGGTTTAAACGGCATCATCGTTCCATGACCGCATGTTGCTGTCAAACCGTGAGTGACTTGAACATCGTCGGAAAATAAGCGATTCACGAACTTATCAAGATTGCGACTATCTGGATAGATGTATTTCGATCAGGAAAGCGGACACACCAGGTGTTCCCGCTTTACATCCAACGAGAAGGCCGCTATTTAATTGATGCCAAGAATACTGGCTTCAACCATGCGGGTTTGGAGATCCAGTTATAAGGAGACTTAGTATGAATAGATGTTCGAACATACTTTCATCAAAAGTAGGTTCTCCGAAGAAAACATTTCGCCTGAAGCAGAAAAGGGTAGGGCAGAGGCATCGACGAGGGGTTTGTGGAAACTACAAAGAGCGTCCGACGATATTACGCGGTGGTATCGGCTGTGATTGCGGGTGAAGAAAAGCTTGCTGCGGAGAAGCAGAGGACTGAAGCGAACTACGAGACTGGAGTGGCCACATCTCTTGACTTTGAGCTTCCTACGGTCCCCATCGCTCCTGAGTGTTCACGGATCCTCAAGTCCCCAGGAGGGTTGCGTTTACATCGCGAGTCGACGCTATGCGCCGGTGAAATATGAGGCGGGAAAGTCGCAGTTCAGGTTGACGCAGATGAAGGGAGCGCATGAATTTTTTGGGTAAACGTGTATCAGAGGGCTGGACATTTAGAGGTCCAATTTGAGGTGAGAACGACGAACCTTAGGTGACACTTGATTTGCATTGATTCATGCTATTATGCTATTTTTGAAGGGGATGGACGGACTGTATCTGCCATCTGGACCGTGTGACTCTCAGTAAAAAGCAAAGTTAGCCATAGTCAATGCAGAGTCATGCAAGGTCAGCAAAAGTCGGCAAAAGTCAGCAAAAAGTCTTGCCTTGTTGAAAAAGTTCTTGGCATCGCAGACACCTCCGTATCATAGTCGTAGCTCAGTCATACACTAGTCATACAAGTCTTACAAGTCTTACATTTGACAAAGTTTGGAGGAAGTGAACTCGGACAGATTTCGCGTTTGTCGGTGAACTGTGGGAAAGTTCCCATATATATCACGTGAATACAATGTTCAAATTCGCGACTTGGCTGAATTCGCAACTTGTTCTCTTCGACCACTTCATGTAAGTTCCTGCTCTGCCTATCGGCATGGCCGTCTCTTTTCCATGGTATGTGGTCATCTTTATTACTTTATTTGCATGCACTTAAACCATTTAGTGCCACCCCAGAGGCATACAATGCCGATCAGCGACTTAACGCTACGCAGAAGGCTCGAGGAGAGGGTCGACGGACAGGGATGGATTCCGAGACAAGGGTATGTCTCCTTTCCTTTTCTTGTGCGCCATTGACTCATACATTGTGCAGACACCTCCACTCGCACCAAGCGCAGAATAAATCCTCGAGGGAATAGAATTCGTGGACCGGCATGGATGCGGTCATTGAGTCAAGTTAGGAACGGGCAATGAGGCACTATGTTGGTTTAGGATTATGGTAATACATCCCTCCATCTTTGTATTGGTACATATGTAGTATCTGGCCTAGGAATATACCTTTGTTCTTTGTGCTTTCTAAATGCCTGGAGTGAGGAATATTAAAGAGAATGACTGGGATCTGACTTTTCTATGACTATTTTATTTGCATTTTGCCGTCATCAGAGTTTTACTGATGTATGACTAGTGTATGATCAGCCACGACTAGAGAATACACTGTAATGACAATTTACTGACTATAGACAACATTGACCTGTTGCCGCAAGTCAAAAACGCGTTCCCCAAAGCAGATAATAGTCAGTGAAAGGTAAGTTTTTCTATTTCCGACTATTTCGTGACCAATTCACGACTAACTACCGACTTCATTTTTTACTGAGTGTGACTTGGGCAGCGAATCTTCCACGGTTCGCCTTTTACACGGACGGAAAGCGGGTTGAAGGCGACACAGTTGAATTCACGCCTGCAGGTCGCGTCGAGCGAAGGCTGTTGCAAAGGCTGGGATCTGGTGTCTAAAGCACGGTCACACCTGGACGGTACGTCATAATCGCTTGTAATTGTTCGATAGGCTATGCTGAGTGACCTACAGTCGAGAAACTTGAGCTGGGTCGTATGGACATGGTGGAGCCTGGGGCCGGAAGAGCCGTGAACGAGCTGCACAGCGTCTCGGCGAAGAATGGGCTGCTGCTCGTGACCCAGGATGGGGAAAATTCGAGGTGGACGTTATGTATGAAGCGCAGCAGCAAGTCCGCATTGCCGGCATTTGCCTCTTCTGGAGATATTTTGAGCTCGGACTCGGAGAGATATGTGGCGTACACCGACGCGAGTCCCGAGTGACTTTCAGAGTGCAATTTAAAAGAACTCAGGTCAGCATAAAGTGTCTGGCCGAGGCTGGATGCACTGGATGGGTTGCTGAATTTGCAAACAGGTCCTGTTTAGAGGAGAGTGAGGACGTCAATCGGAAAATATTGATTGGCTGGGGAAATAGGACAGCCCCAATTGGCCCAGCTCAAAATATGACTAAGTGGCCGCCGGGCCGTGCGTGACATAACGCGGCAGTGACTTGCACTTTATATATATTTCAAAGTTGCGAGTCCTTCTCTTTCACCCCCGCCATCCATGTCGTCTCCACTCTCAGATTCTTCTGCCTCCTCCACTCCGACCGTCGTGCCTCTACCATCCCGCCCGGATGCCGCCGCCCGGCAGAAAAAGCCCCCCGTTTGGCCAATTGACCAATCCGTACCCGGAGTACAACCCCCACCCGCCCCCAAATGTGCTAGGACTGCCCGCGAAGATGGCGTTTGTTGCAAAGACCTCATACACGAAACGCGAACCCTGGTTGACCCCGATATAGTTCGTGATGTGTGAGTCTTTACTTGGAAACCAGACATGTCGCTGTCCCGAGCTGATGTCACATTCTTTAGTGTCATTGGCTTGTCAGATGGCCTAACTGTTCCTTTTGCCCTTACTGCCGGTCTTTCCTCGCTCGGAGACTCAAAACTTGTCGTGTTCGGTGGTATTGCCGAGTTGATTGCAGGTGCTATTTCGATGGGCATTGGTGGCTTCCTTGCTTCTCAGGCAGAGCGTGACCACTATCGTTATCTCCGATACCATACGGCCCAGCGTGTTCTTAAGAGTTGTGCGGGCGAGATGGAGCGCGAGGTTTCAGACGTGCTTGGACCAGTTGGCGTCGATGAGAGGACGTGTCGCGCCGTTGCACACTCTCTCCAAGAAGTCGAAAACGTTCATGGTGCTGCTGCCGTCGATGGTCGTACCGTCCCAGATGAAGAAAATGCCAAGTTGCGATTAGGTAAAGAGGTTGGTCTGACCGCCTTCCTGCTCAAATTCGGTCAAGGACTGGGTACGTGAAAACCCCTCTGTTCACAGTCTTACTTTTCACTGACATCCAATGTGCAGAGGAGGTTCCAAATAAACGGATGTATGTCTCGGCTTTCACCATCGGCCTGGGATATCTCCTTGGCGGAATCATTCCACTGTTACCCTACTTCTTCCTCCACAACGCTCAAGTTGCTCTCATATATTCATCCGTCATTACTGGAGTCATCTTGCTCATATTCGGCGCCGTCAAGGCACGCATCACAGGTGCGGCTGTGAAGCCACTGGACTACGTCTGGGGTGCATTCAGTACCCTCATGGTTGGAGGTATATCGGCGGCTGCTGCGTACGGCATCGTCAGAGCCCTCGAAACAACTGGCAAGTAGGAATGGTATTCAGTTGGATATATTTGTACCTATACCGCAAGACGTTATCTCTTTTTCTATGGTTTTTTTTTACCGTCTTTGTCTTTGTTCCTTGCATTTACATTCTCCTGCTACTGTTATTCACGATTATGCCGCATGTAATACCCCTTCTCCTCGTTCCTATTCACGTATCACTTGTAGCCTCAGCACATATTATAATGTCCGATGTACTTCGTATGCCACCTATGTTCAGGTTAAATAAGTCAAACCGGAAAGCAAATCTATTGAGCGTGTGCAGGAAGAAAACGTGTTGCCATTATCGACGACAAGAATTACCTATAAATTCTTCGCATAACAAAATAATTTTTTTGCTCGTTTTTCCACTTTCTCCTTGCTTTCTCCGCCCAGGCTATTATCAAGTCTAACCCTGTCTAACCTCGCGATGACTTCGGCGAAGACAACCAGATATTTTTAAAACAAGAAAAACAAACTGCCCCAGAGAGACTTGAACTCTCGATCTTCCGATGCCGATGTGATCATAACAGTCGGACGCCGTAACCAACTAAGCCATGGGGCACATGGAAAACAGGTCTCCAATGGTTCCACATGCTGATGTCAGTGAATTTGACGCCCAAGCCAGCAAGGGCGCTACTTCTCACGTGTGTGTGTCCTCACGACTTCACGATGTTCTAGATTTTCAAAGTATTTTCAAAACAACAAGCACGTCTAAGAAGGCCGAATACTAGTAATACAGAAGGTGTTTCCTCCCAGAAAGTCGAATGATATAATAATAATAAAATCAAAGGCAGCTCATCCCTCCCTGGCGGTTTCCTCGTTGGTGGGGATGGGCTCAGTGTGAGAGACGACGCAGTAGGAATTGCCGCCGCCGCTTCCGCCAGTCTCCTCGTTGGTGGGGGTGTCGACGATGATGGGGGTGGTGAAGAAGGAATCCATTTGTGTTGTTGAAGTTGCGAATGCAACTGGGGAAATTTAGGCCGTTCGATGTCCACATTTTATAGATGAACAGCGCTTTGTGACGGGCAGGTCGACGTGCCCGGGAGGTGGGGAGTGAGCGCTTTGCACAGTGCCTGGCGCATTTGACCAGACAATAATGATAGACAAAAGTATAATTGTTCTCGAAGAGCCGGTGCATTTCGAAACAATAAAAGGTATTTTCCTGTGTGCAAAAAGGCTCTAAGAGAAAAAGGGTTCCTCCTCTAGTGCTGAACATTCGTGCAGAGTCTGTAAACACGTTCAGAGTGCCGTAGCCAATAATTGACTGATTAGATATCGGTGTCTGTCAGTCCGTAGGGAGAACAAAAGGCCAGCGAGTCAAAATCTTTAGGCAGGTCGAAGAGTAACCCATGTTTGTTTTTTGACGTAAAGATCTTCCTCTGTTCTTGTGATTTGAGGAATGAAGAGCGGGGTAACGTATTAACGGCCTCCAAAACAAATAAAAAGACCGAAAGCTGTGTGGTGGCGCACTCTCCAGAATCGGCGGGCTTTCCCAGGAACGGCCTACGGAGTCACTGGCACCGCCTTGTGGCCAGGGCCAAAGTGTGAAATTGGCATTTATTGTTTTTTTTTTTTTTGATCTCGAAAGGATGATCGTCTTCGAGATTTGAGGAATATAGAGATAGTACACCAGGATGGACATGGAGAGTGAATGTAACTTTAAGTTAGAGAAATAGTCTGAGGCCCAGCTGAGTACAGTGTAGATTGTAAAAGTAGAGCTCACACGACTACAACGAAGGTAATAGCGCCAATTCTGTCTTCGGGACTCTTAAAAGAGCAATTTCGACCTTTTGAGATGGTGTTATTGGTTTCGAGTCCCCGGCGGTAGTAACAGTATAGCTCTACATGCATTCTTTTGTGAGGAGGATTCGAGGGTTGCGTACAATTGTCTGAGTTGATCCGAATGTGTCGAAGATGCAGCAAAGATGTACGTCCCTGCGTCGTGCAACGTCAAGTTTGATTGTCGAAGGTCGATTGCATGATCATCGAGTCTCTAGTGTCCCCGGATGAACACTCGCGGCTTGCCAAACCGTATGAGCCGAGGCTGATATGCATACGTCAATTTCCTCCTAATATACTTATCACCGAAGATCTCTTCGCGTGAAAAATCTCGAGACCTTGCAGAGTTATTGCAGAGACCCGGCCGGCCGCGTCGAAGGGGCTCTAACGGCACAGATTTGAGGGTTGATATTAACTTTAGCGAGACGAAGGGCTGGCTGAAGTTTGCGAATGAATGAATAATTCATCTATTTGAAAACAGATGAGGGCCCAAATGTCATGTGTGATGTAGGGCGCCTGGGGTACTAATAGGTGAATGGTCTTTTTTGCGGTGAGTGAGTGCAGAAGAAATGCGGGAGAGGTGAGTTTAAAAAAAAATAACCAATGGGATTCATGAAACGGACACCTTCAGCAATTGTCAACCTCTCAGCTCCATTGTCCAAGGTGCGCTTCATTTTAAGAACCATATAGGATCGACGAATGGGAGTCCAAGTTTGTAGCAGATCGTAGGCCGACGTCAAACACGCAATACAAGCTGGCAGCAAGGGGCTCCATTCTAGTCTTCTGAGTGATAGTTCCGAAGTTATGGGCCCATTTGCCTCGTGTATGACGCGTGTCACACTGAATGGACTGTCCGGGAAGTGGCTGGAGGACAGCTAGGAGAGGGTTGTGCATGTGAGTGTTGAAGACTCATTGCCGGTCATAGCCACTTTAAAAGCGAGAGGGATGGCAGTGAAGAATGAGGTACACAGTCTGCGTGGCGGTGTCATTGTGATATAAACGTCCTCGAGGCCACTTCGGTTTGGGAATCCACATCACTCTGCCTCTGCATCATTCAAGGTCTCCCTTTCACACCATGGGCACCTCCCAAAGCCGACCTGAAAGCCACATCGATCGTCTGAAACGATATTCAAAGGCTGACCTCAAGTCACCGCTCAAGTCCGCTTTTGGACGACATTCAGCAGCGACCAAGACAGCGTCCTCGCAAGAAGGAACCACCGGACACTCGGCCAAGTCTAACGAAAGTGAGGGCACAGCAAGTGACTACGAGACGCCCATCTACGAGACTCGGGGACGAAGCACGGCTGCGGTGTGTGTCAGTCCATTTTCTGTAGACTTGTACATGGTGGTGGCTGTGTCGAGAGTGGTCAGATTGTATCACTTGTACTCATTCTCATTTCCTGTTATCATTCCTTCTTCAACGTCAGCTACAACCACCTCCTCCCCGTTCTCAACCTTCAATGCCTGCTACAGTTCCTTGCCAGGTACGCCCATCTTCCTCTTCTCATCCTCTCTCTATATCAGACGCCCGTCGCCTGCAGTACCGAACAGGAAAGACGCTTGGCAGCGGCACTTATGCCATCGTGAAGGAGGCTATCCATGTACAAACAGGAAAGTACTATGCCTGCAAGGTCATCAACAAGAGACTCATGGAGGGACGCGAACACATGGTTATTTCCTTGCTCCATCCGATCCCTATCGATGGTCCTCATCCCCTTGACCCTAGGTCCGCAACGAGATCGCAGTCCTCAAGCGCGTTTCTAGCGGTCATCCCAATATTGTCACTCTCCATGATTACTTTGAAGTACATGTCTCCTCATTTCTCCCTGTTTGATTTATGTCTTACTTGCTTCATCAGACCGCCCACAATCTCTACCTCTGCTTCGACCTTTGCACGGGCGGAGAACTATTTGATAGTATATGTGCCAAGGGAAACTACTACGAGGCGTAAGAACTCTCTTTACCGCCCATGTATCTTGCTAAATCGCATTTTCATTAGTGATGCTAGGGCGCTTCTCCGAACCATCTTCGTTGCAGTGAAATACATTCACGATTCGGGCATCGTCCACCGCGGTATACACTACCCATCTGCATCTAATCCGCCTTATCTTATGTCCGTCATGTGCAGACCTGAAACCCGAAAACTTGTTATTCCGTACCCGAGCTGAAGATGCTGATATTATGATTGCCGATTTCGGTTTGAGCAGAATCATGGAGGAAGAGAAATTGAACCAGTTGACCGAGATTTGTGGAACACCAGGGGTGAGTCTAGTTTGTAGGCGTGGCTCTACATTTTTATGTACTGCGACACTACTCATGTGTCTGGTTGCTGATCACTGTTCTAGTACATGGCCCCAGAAATATTCAAAAAGAGTCTGTTTTCGTTACCTGAATCCTCATATCGAGTCTCATGATTCATATAGCCGGTCATGGGAAGCCTGTTGACATCTGGGCAATGGGAGTCATCACCTACTTCTTGCTTGCTGGATACACTCCATTCGATCGCGATTCGCAGCAACAAGAAATGGAGGCAATCATCGCCGGAGACTACAAATTTGAGCCCGAGGAGTATTGGCAGAACGTTTCCGAGACAGCGAAGGATTTCGTTAGGACGTGTTTGACTGTCGATCCTGCCATACGGCCCACGGCTGCGGCTGTCCTGCAACACAAGGTATGTTTCTTTGTTTCTTAATTGTCGTTGAAAGTTTTGACCGTCCTTCAAGTGGTTGGCCTCCGAGAAGCCTCACTTCGTACCTGACCCGACACGTGAAGACGGTGGTCCAGCTGATCTCTTGCCTAATGTCAAGAAGGCATTCAATGCCAAGAAACTTTGTACGACATTTTCGTGTGTGTGTGGCAAGCCGGGAACAATGCTAAACACATGTTTCTGGTGCAGGGCGTAAAGCTACTTCTACTATCAAAGCTGTGAACAGGATGGCAATCCTCGCACACGCCGATTCGGGCTTGGCCCAAATGAGAGAGAATCTGAACCAATACAAGGAGGAATCTGCGAGAGTATGTTATTGCCTTTTGTGTATCGTTGAATTTATCCTGATATTATCTGTACAGGAAAACCTGGAGGTATGCTTTGCCAAGCTTGAGATATCCAAGGACGAGGACACTGACGGATTACATCAGAGCGTGGATATCACCTATCAAGAAGGACTGGCAGCGAAGCATTCTAATGATATTTCCGCTGCAAACCACGATGATATTAACAGCAAGCTCGCACGGGCGAGCTTGGACGAGAAGGATAAGACTATTCAGGGAGGTCAGGACAAGTGATGTATTTATGATGGATTGTCTGTGTAGCCTGAGCCTCCCAGGCCTGTCGGGGAGTTAACATCGAAAGCGATTCCCAATTTATGGCGGAGCATACTGGATATTGATCAATCTAGGAGGGTACCTAGTACTATTATACATGCAATCTCTACGCTATTAGTCACTCCGAATCACCGCCTTGAAATTGAGGAAGTCGCTGCTTCATCGTTCCAATCTTTACACAAAATGCTACACAGACCTGACACGATACACTTTCTCAAAGAGCCTAAGCATCATCTAGCTATAAAACGTCACAACTCCTCGTCCATGCGCACAACTTGCCAACCCGTCGTGTTCAAGCAAATCCGAAAGTAGCAAATGATCACGCATACACGTTCTCGTCCCAAAACTGCTGCGCGTTCATATTCGCAAAGATCTCCTCTTCCGCTGACGGTGCCCAGGCCGCGTCGTGCGTTTTCACAGCCTGTGTTGGGACAAACGAACATGTTAGGTCACGTAAAA